GATAGTAACTCTTAGTGAGATAGTAACTCGTAGTGAGATAGTAACTCGTAGTGAGATAATAACTTGAAGTGTTTGATGAAGACTTATTGATCCAGAAGGTTTGTATGTTTCTTCAGGGGGTTAAATCCACCAGAGGAGGCTGATGAGGTTCAGCTGAACTCTCTGAGATGTTAAAGAGCTGAAGTGACTCTTTGTTGGTTTCTCACACAGAATAATTCATTTCTCTTTTACTGATACGGAGGCTGTGACCTCGTTAAACACTTAAAGCTTTCTGAATTGTCATGGAAACAAACAGATGTTTGAGTCCTTCAGGTCTCATAAACATGTTGAACTGTTTACGCTCCTCTTCCGCCACTTTGAACTGAATCTTTCTTATATTCTTATCAAACATTTCACTGATGAAGTTCAACATTAAAAAAGCTTAGATGAGATTCAGTAGAGATGAGAGCAGAAGATATGAAATATGAATATAATTATTATGTAATAGAGCTATGACCTAATGACCTTTAACATGAAATTAAGACTTTAAAGTTGAACTGGTAAAGATCCGCTGTGATACATCAATAGATCTATACATCTAGAATACATGAAGACATCTATACACGAATACATGAATACATCTACAGATGAATACATGAATACATCTACAGATGAATACGTCTGTAGATGAATACATTCATATATATTCACATATTCACATATATTCATCTACAGATGTATTCATCTGTAGATGTATTCATGTATTCATCTGTAGATGTATAGAACTATAGATGAGTACATCTGTAGATGAATACATGTGAATATATGACTATATATGAATGTATTCATCTACAGACGTATTCATGAATACATGTATTCTAATTAAAGATTCTCAAGATCTGGGTGAGAAAGAGGTTTTAAAAATGCTGAACACACTTGTTGAGTAGATTATTATTATTATTATTATTATTATTATTATTATATTATTATATTATTGTGAGCAGCTGCAGGTTTCTGTCTCGTTAAAAGAGGACTCTTTACTGAACATCTGCATGTTGAGATTCAACATCTGTCTCAGTGATCAGCTGCTGAGATAAACAGACAGAATGTGAGAAGTGAAACCAGCTCCAGATGTTCATCAGCTGTTCACTACAACACAAAATGATATTTATATCACACACACACACACAATGATATTTATACCACACATACACACACACACAATAATATTAGGCGTTACTAATTCACTTCCTCCCTCTCTTCCTCCTCTCTCCTCCCACTCTCCTCCCTCTCTTCCTCCCACTCTTCTTCCTAATTCTCTTCCTCCTCTCTCCTCCCTCTCTTCCTCCCTCTCTTCTTCCTAATTCTCTTCCTCCTCTCTCCTTCCTCTCTCGTTACTAATTCACTTCCTCCACTTGAAGCTCCTCTGACCTTTAAAGCTAGTAGTTATCAATCAAGCGTCTCTCTATTTAAACCCTCCAGCAGCTGATTCACTGATGAGTTCTGATGATAATCATCAGAGCTCAATGTGTGAATGTGACCCGGTCACGCTGACGCCTGATTGGTCGCTGCAGGTTCTTTACCTGCACAGAGCGTCGGAGGTGCAGGTGCTCCGGAGCTCCAGACAGGTGGGCTTGTGTCTCTCCTGGTGAGAGCAGGACGGCACGATGGTCCGACGGCGCCGCTCGGCACAAGCTTGATCCGGACAGGAGCAGAACATCAGAGGGTAGCTGAGCTCCCAGGAGACCCGCTCGAAGAACTGACGCAGGGCCTGAGGACCACAACCATTAATAGATTATACTGTATATATATGTATGTTTATATTTATAATAGTGCTGGTCAACGATTTAAATTTTTAATCGTGATTAATCTCATTGTTATGCGCAAAGTTCAATAATCAATTATGAATTATGAATGAATTTAAAGTTCTGCTATATGAACAAAAGGTCAACAACATTTGGTTTGTAAACACTTTAAACACATCAGGTTCTTGTTAGCAGCAGTATTCCCTTTACACAGCAGCAGTTATAACACAGTTATAATGATTCTGATCATAGATATTCAGCCGGTGTTCACAACTTTATCTTCATGTGTAAGAGATGCTATTTAAATATACACCTTGAAAACTGAAACCTATCTACGTCATGTTTTTATGTTTGTTAAATTCTCAGTAGTGATAACTAAATGATGCTTATTATACATATTACAAACAAAACACTTAAAAAACTCTAAAACAATAATTTAATGAATCATTTATTTTTAGCTTTTCTTGGTATTTAGGTCAGACACATGTGCAACGCTGATTACCGTGATATGTGTGGTATTTGTTATAAATGTACGTTGGTACATAGAGGGTGATAAGAAGCTGTACCTGGAGGGACTTAGGACCCAGGGGAATGTAGGTGAAGCATGAACCTGTAGTCTGTACCGTGGCAGTAACCTGTATGAGGAAGTTATGCTCATAAAGAGTTGAGTTAAGAGCAGTTTGTTCTCTCGTGCTTATGTGTTCATTTAAAAACACCACAATATGTATTTTAATATTGTCACGTTTGATCCTGTAACGAGGCGATCGCGTGTGTGCGCGTGTGTGTGTTTGTGTGTTTGTGAGACAGGAGGGACCGACGGTGATGGAGTGTAGGACCGGACCTTTGCCAGAGGAGATTTTCTCAATCTGGACCTTTTGGAATTTTAATTGAAGACCCCTGATCTAGTCGATGAATAGCTACCTTAGCAGCCGACCCAGCAGCTCTGCACACTTGCTGAGTTTCTCTTCCTGTTTGGTGATGCTGGCCCCGCCCTCGCAGCGGTCCAGCCAGTAGAAAGCGGAGATGCTGTCGATGAGGAGTGCGAGTCCGGGCCGCGATGACAGGGAAGTCTCCAGAAAGTGGAGGGTGAGGACGAGCTGGGAGGACGAGGAGCAGTGGACGACCAGGAGGCGAGACAGGCACGAACGCAGCGCTGCCTCATCTGAACCAGAGCAAGACAAGCCGGTAGAACAAGCTAGAGAGACAGAGACAGATTTTCATAATCTTCAGTAATTCATTGACAGACTATGGATGAATGTCAGTTTTTGCAGCCACAGTCTGAACATCCGGAGTTGAATTATGTTCCCAGTACGACCCCCGGTGTGTGTTATATATGTGTGTGTGTGTCATATGTGTGATATGTGTGTGTGTGTGTGTGTGTACCAGCATTCAGTCTGCTGTCCAGGATGCTGACCAGTCGTAACATGTCCAGACTGTAGTCGGTGTCCACAAACACAACGTCCACCTCCAGACCGCCGGATGCTACCGGCAACACGCAGCGACACAGCAGGTGGTAGAGCAATTCTGTCTTACCTAACACACACACACACACACACACACACATATATATGTGTATATATATACACACACATATATATATATATATACATATATATACGTATATATATACACACACATATATATATATACACATATATATACGTATATATATACACACACATATATATATATACATATACATATATATATATATATATACATATATATATACATATATACATATATATATATATATACATATATACATATACATACATATATATATATATATACATATATATATATATATACATATACATATATACACACATATACATATATACATATATATACACATATATATATACATACATATATATATACATATATATAAATATATAAAACACACACACACACAGGCACTTTACAGGAAGTTCAAACCAGGTAAAGGTAGAAGTACTTCCTGTGAAGTGAACTCACCTGTTCCCTCTGTTCCATACAGCTCAACCACCTCACCTGTGAAACATGTGAGCTCATCAGTCAACACTCATCTGTAATAATGCTAATGCTAATATATTTATGCTTTGGTTCCCTGATGTCATGTGACCCGTGCTGACAGGAAGTGGGCATGGTCAGTCACCATGGTTGGGTCCTCCATCTTCAGGAAACATTTGAGGTTCGATGTCCTTCAGACAACGACGGGCCTCCAGACGAGCAAAAAGCTGCAGAGACACAACTGATCAGTCTACAGTCTGTAGGCTGTAATATACCGTACCATCATCTGTTAATATACCGTACCATGTCTGTTTATAGACCGTACCATCATGTCTAACTGTTTATAGACCGTACCATCATGTCTGTTT